CGCCTGACAGATATCATCAGGGCAGAGTACCATCCTCACAACCATATTTAAGATAAGAGTCGAGAAAACTCGAAGTTCTTCGAACCTTTAAAGCTCTTCACCAAATAATTTCCCTCGAACTGGGAATGAGCTCAACAATTCTGGAGTAAGAGATTTATCAAAACTCGCCAAAATATTTTTTACAAGAGGTTGTCACATCTTGCAATCCATCGTTAAGCCCATCCAAAGCGTGTCCCTTCTCGATAATTGCAGAACACGACATACCTTGCGATGCGGATGGAAGACCTTCAAGGCTTCATACGAAAGCCTAGGACCGGGCATATCCATTCTGCCAAAGATGCCACGAGGGCAACCAGGTCCATTCGATTCGCGTCAGCGCCCGGCTCATCTGGCCGTCTGCCAAGGTTTGGCCGACCGGCAAGACACATGCGACCGTCCAGTTTCGCTGAGCACCCTGAGCCGGGCCCAGAGTATAACAATGCGACGAGACCAGCGGCACTGGCCGAGCGACTCTGGATCGCAGGACAGATGAGTAGGTTCGACTCGTCAAAAGGGAAAATGGGAAACTGGCAGGCAGATGGACTTATTAGCCAACCTTTAGATAACCATCTGATTCAGGCGTTGCTTTAGCCCGCTTAAAGTGGCGGCAACGTTGGCCTTTGAAACTGTTTTGGTGCACGATTTGTTGTACAAACTTATATATATATATACACACACACACACACAGACAAACAGACAGACATACCTGTGAATAGAGAAGAGGACACAGGCATTACTGGTAGTCATTTACCCCCGAAGTCCGGCAGAAAAGAATGACCTTTCGAAAGTATACATCACATAAACACCATTCCATCTGCCAATTTTTGCAGTGAATTATTACTGCCATAACAAGAAGGGGGATGGAGAAAAAAGTAAAAAACGTGGCCAACAAATCCCTGGGACAATTTGTGAGAACGGCTATTGCGCGGAAGAGCTTGGAGATGCCTAATGGTCGACCGTTCTGGCCCTACAAATTGCCTCCCGACCGTTGCTGCTCACGCCTTTAATTTGCCGAATCTGTATGGTCTGCGCGTCCAAAGGTCTGGCCACAGCATACTGTACCATTGTAAAGGGATTCACTCCACCGTCAGAATGCACTCGGAGCAAAGAGTCTCCGATTTGCTTGATTTATACCCTCACTGAACACTCGTATTGCCCTAGACATCCGTTGCGCCTGTACAGACAATGATAGAAATCAGCAAGCTTCTAAATGCACTACTTGAAATTCGTTTTCGAAAAACCGCCGTTCTCTACCCTCAACTGAGAAACCGGATTGACAAGCTGAAGTCTGGCTCAAAAGCACAGAATTGCAAGCATCTGAAGAAGGCAATCAAATGTCTGTGGGTACCTGTGCTGACATTTTAGATTAGGTGCTATTGAAGATTCGACATCGTATTTAAA